CTACAGTAGGAGGTGTAGACGTTCTCGTTCAGTAGGACGTTAACTGATTGTGTATTGGGTATTTCCCCTCGTCCTTCAGGTATTTGACGTGAATGTTTATGACAATCTCACCGTCTCAGATTACAGAATTTGTACCAGGAACCTCCCACGGTATAACGTTTATTTGTCTGTCACGCCTGAGCTGTACAGTATACCACACACCACACCTCTTAGAATTACACTGAAAATTGCATATATTTACTTATTATTTAAGTTTAAAAAAAAAACTGTAACCGGATGCAGTACAATTATATATTTCAATGACAATAAGGATTCACTTTAACATACAACCTTATCTAGTCTGTATGCAGGTACCTAATAAGGACCTGCTACAAGATGGAAAACATAATATTTGCATAATCAGTATACAACTTAGAAGGAAATGAAAATAATTGGTAATATATCATGTTTCCCCAAATCTTTTCTACACTTGGTATTACTTAAGGAGTTACAAATGTAAAAGTGTCATACGGTATTACTTAAGGGAGTTACAAATGTAAAAGTGTCATACGGTATTACTTAAGGGAGTTACAAATGTAAAAGTGTCATACGGTATGACTTAAGGGAGTTACAAATGTAAAAGTGTCATACGGTATGACTTAAGGGAGTTACAAATGTAAAAGTGTCATACGGTATTACTTAAGGGAGTTACAAATGTAAAAGTGTCATACGGTATTACTTAAGGGAGTTACAAATGTAAAAGTGTCATACGGTATGACTTAAGGGAGTTACAAATGTAAAAGTGTCATACGGTATTACTTAAGGGAGTTACAAATGTAAAAGTGTCATACGGTATTACTTAAGGGAGTTACAAATGTAAAAGTGTCATACGGTATGACTTAAGGGAGTTACAAATGCAAAAGTGTCATACGGTATGACTTAAGGGAGTTACAAATGTAAAAGTGTCATACCGTCTAAATAAACCGAGTTTGTGTGCATATATGCAGAGACAAAGTACACAGGAAGTATAAGAAAACAATATATAACATATAAATAAGAATCGTTTCCGATATCTCATTTCTCACCAGTCTTGAGGTCATTGGTCACCATTTGTTACAAATACCCGAAACAATTGTGTCGACGTCAGAAGCTACATTATCGCAGCTAAACAAGCATATACTCAGGAGAAAAGTAGTAGCCGTTACCTCAATTCCTGTGTTGTTGCATTTCATTTCTACTAATGTTTAAATACAAATGATAATTGCATTTATAACCAACAGGTACACATATAGATTATACAATCTTCAGGTAACGCCTATGTTGTCCTATTTAAACTCCACAAAGGCAACCTGTGTATATAGCGTGAATGTTTCAAATTATTCGTCACGTCAACGCAGTAGTGTTAGTTTAAAAAATCTCACGAGATATCTAGTTTTAACCAATTCGAGCCAATATAACTCAATTTTCTTCTATCAAAACATAACCTTCACTAATTTATATACTTCAGTATCATACAACAAGTTATTCTTCAAGAACAAACAAGTCAGGAGTTTCTTTCTAAAGATACTGTCATGATAACATGGGTTTATACACATGAGTGTATACAATTAACTTCCTTGTTGCATGTCTGTGTGTATTACGCTTAGTTTTTAGGAAAGAAGTCCTTTGTGGAAATACCATACCTGGCTGTAAATCTGAGCTGCTCGTACTTCCGGGTTCCTGTTCAACAAAGAACTTCGTCGACACTGCTGGAACCACATAAGGTAAACATGAATCCTTCTAAAATCAACTAATATAATATCTTCAACATCACACAGTAAGTTGTTGTAGTTGAGTTACCTATTATATTAATCGACAGTCTGTCTATATTTCTATACTTGGTTATAAAACACTTAACTCAACGCTGTTATCGTCACATTTAACACCACATAGACACATGCCTATGTTTCTAAGCCATGCATTTTAAGGCCGTTTCGTCATGATGATTGTCTTAGTGTAGGGTTTTTAATATTCGTCTTGGTATTTTATGTTATAGTTGTATTATAGCAGGACAAATCATTTGATTTTTAACAGCTGTTTTCTGTTATATAAATGAATACATAATTCCTATTAATGTATTATGTCACCAAGTATTGTCATCTCTTCGAAACGAGTCGTATATTTTGATATATATCGTTAGCTATTGAACAGTGAGTACATATATAATTTTAGCATGCGTGTAATATTGATAGATAAAAGAAAAATAGATATTAACACGATATTCATTTTTAAGTCCAACACAGTTGTGTCCATACTTAAACTATAAATTGGCAAAATACCAATGATACACTATATGTACTTCAGTGATATCCAGAACGACCTGCTATTTTATATTTCAACACAGAACGAATGCTGTTTACAGCAATGACGTATATATATAAACAACGATATGATGTTAGGTACAAACAAACAAAGAATACGGACCAGATACAAATAGGCACAATAATAATAATAACATAATCATTTGCAGTCTGTGGCTGTCGATGGTCATTTAACAGACACCGTACGATCAAATATCTATATCTCTTCATAACAACATGTAACGTAGATAAGTAAGTGCAGGTTCAGTGACGTTTAATTTCTAAGACCAGCTGTATCCCACTGTATGAGTGAACAAGACGAATAATGTTGAACCCCTGCATGATCTGACTTAGGAATTGTGTTCTCTTCTTTGGGACACACAGGAGATCCAATGGTTTCTTCTTCCTTTATTTTAACACATAGGACTAGTGTTCACAGTTTTAGTGAGTTGACAAAATACGTATGTCTAATCATGGTTATATCTTGAGTAAGCCTGGTTTGTATGCTGCAACAAATGACCCCTAACATTGGTCGCCTTATCTGACTATATAAAATCTACATGACAATACAAATGTTATTTTGGGGAATAAAGAAAACTTTGGAAGTTCAGTTGTTACTTACCATCTTCATTTGAACGTTCAACATGTGTACAATACGTGTTTCTGTTAACATTATAATACCCATATAAACAAGGCAGCTGCGTAACAAGACGACGGAAGTATATACAGCTGAATATAGTCTATTTGTAGAACCGAATATAATTACAATGAAACAGGAACTTTTAAATATATTTTCTTATTTTGAAAGTATAAAACTTCCCCAGCATGTGTTTCATGTTTTATCACACACCGTATAACATCACTTGGTGTATGTACATGTTTCTACAAAGGGGCCGTGGCCAAGTTGTTAAGGTGTCTGACTTTCTGCTACCACAAGCCCTCGACCAATGGGTCGCGTGTTCGAGACCTGCGTGGGACAGCCGCCAGTTACTGTCCGTAGGTCGGTGGTTTAACTCCGGCTCTCCTTCACGAACAAAACTTGGCACGTACTTAAATGACCATAGCTTTCGTAAAACACAAACAAACCAAAATTATACAAGACGGGGTTTCATACCGAAGGAAAAAACACAGGAAGTTATATTGATAAAGAAAATCTTCCGAAATTCTAGATTTTTCATCAAAATAAGCTAACTTTTTTTCTTATTTGTGTCAATAAAGATGCAGATGTGTGCGATCAAGTAATTTGAAAACAACAATGTATTTTCCGAAATGACTTCTTCCTGTTAAATTGTTTTATTATACTGCTTACCTGTGGGCCAAATAGCGATACACGGTAATGTAAAGGTGGATAAAGGTAAAAGATGGTAATCGTATTTGAATGATGAACGTATCACACACGTGATTAATCTACCCCTATGTATCCCATAGTGCAGATCGTATAGGCTGCAAACTATACTTACAAACGTTAGAAATATTACATTTGTCGAAGGCCCATAGTGATACCCCAAATATATATTTGCATATAGCAGGATGTATTAAATTTTTATATCATTATAAAATTACAATCAAATTACAAAGAGGTAAATTAAGTAAAGTGTTAAAATGTATGATAAACTTTATCTTACTGTATATTTCATACCAATTACCGGATATTATTTGAATAAAATGTATTGTAAAATAGAGAAAACTAAATATAGGCTTTAAGCCTGATGTTCAATCCAATTGATCACTATTATCAGTCAAATTTTATTGAAATAAATTGAAATCACCTTAATATACCTCACAAGCCCATACTCTGAATATCTCTCGCAGGTCAACAGTCTACAGGTCAATGTCACGGCGAAATGGATCACATTCTAATCCTTTCTCAAGCCAAAAGTTTCTGATCAGCTAACCCCTTTATGAAGGTATTAGACGGCTACAACCCAATGAAATCAAAACGTGCTCGTACCCAAAACGTCAAAAGTCATAACAATACATCGGCGGGTAATTTCTTATGAACAGTTGAACCTTTCTATTTAAAAACACATTGGTGTATTTTAACTAGACAAAGTACATGTAACTCAACCTTGTCATCTCAGATAAAGGCATGACATGATCACTTGTATCTGTGTTAAGACATGTAAGTTAAGATATGTGTTTATGTTTTTTACTTTCAAATTCATGTTCGAATATAATGTTGAAATCAATTCAATGCAGAAATGTATCATTCAATATTATTTTTGTATTATCATACAAATAAAATCAGAAATATATCTGACGGTTATTCTCAAAGAGCTTGCATAAGAATGTTTCCATAATAAATTCTTTGCTTATCAGTTCATTATATTACCAAGTACTGTCATGTGAAAGTATTTCGTATTGACCTGTATCGCCTTTGTTGTTACTGATGAATTATTGCACGATATCTATAGAAAGGGTACATATATTTCCTACTCAATCACAAGTCCCGTCCTATGTATGCGTGGAATGTTGGCAAAACAATCAACAATTTATTGGTGAGGTGAGATAGATACTTCCATGTGTTGACTTAATCTCGTTATTTTAATGTGGAATGAAACTTTCAAAGTACATTGTTTTTCTATTTCCTCCCATGAATTCCCTGTAATCAAACAGTACGCAAGCGGTTTATAATGATTCCTTCAATGGCGTGCGGGTGCATGTAACAGATACACAGACCAAATGCAACAAAAACTGCTGGAAAATGATACAGTTGGGAATAATTTCTTTTAATTGTGGGATCCTCAAAATATAACTCTTCCATATGCATCATTATGCGTGAGGATTTCGCTGCTTCCACAAACATTGGAAATGTTCTTGCACAACAGATGTCAAAGCATTTTCCCCTATTACTTTAATCTACTTGTATACTTAACAATACCTATATTCTGTAATAAAGAATACTTAAAATAATAAATTTAACACAATATAACTTTAACTTACTTTCCTAGTACTATAGACGTATATTGCGTACAAATGTTGTTTGCGTACAATAACGATAACAAATAAGTTTATTATGTCATTTACTGTAAAAAATTAAATCTTTATCGGACTTTATCTTCCGTTATGTGTCACAACGTACATCCTCCCTTTCGCGTACGCGCATAAAGAGCTTACTCTTAATTGCGACAGAGCTAGTGACTCAAAAATTTAATGGATGTTCTCTGTATCTGGTCTAACAAATGAATGAATATCATAACATAATGTGATATAGTTGCTATCTAAAGGAAACGTTTGAGGAGATAAAACATCATCAACTAGAATAGGATTAAGATTTGTGCATAAATCGCTAGGATCATTACTGTCGAAGAACGTACCTACATATATCAGTATCAATCGCTTACTCGTCCAAACGTATAGGATGTGGTAATGACGTCAGCATTGTTGATATGACGTCACGTGGTAAATCGTCGATAGTTTCTAAATTGCAATGTCAGCGTATCTAAAGGAAACGTTTGAGGAGATAAAACATCATCAACTAGAATAGGATTAAGATTTGTGCATACATCGCTAAAATCATTACTGTCGAAGAACGTACCTACATATATCAGTATCAAACGCTTACTCGTCCAAACGTATAGGATGTAGTAATGACGTCAGCATTGTTGATATGACGTCACGTGGTAAATCGTCGATAGTTTCTAAATTGCAATGTCAGCACTAAAACTATAGGAATATTGATTTTGTTGATGACGATCGGACGTTTCCCACAATACGCACTTCCAGTCAAAATGAAGTCTGATTCCGGATACAATGTCTGTAAGTTCTCACCCTTGTCTACCCACATTAAACAACTACTGAATAAAACTTTCGTTGTAAACAAAAAAATTAACAAAAAAATCTACTCTTATAATCATTTTGCTAGTTTTCTATCATGAATGCCCTTTTTATCTGTATCTATTACTGTTATATTACCAGATGAGTATATTATATTTGCATCATTTAACGTTTACTGAAAGAAAAACACTAGACATTGTATTTCACATTACATAGGTATTGTGTAAACAAACGTGCCACGTACGTATGAGACCTGTTTTAGGCGAGTTTACGTTTTAGGTTAGTATGGTGTCTTGAAAATATATGCAAAATGACATTAGGGTATTTTATACGACACAATTGCATCACGTTTCAACACATATCGTTATCTTGAGGTTACGACCACACTATTGGTTTTGCCATTACGTAGTTATCTCGAATGTTATTGGAAACAAAAGCCTTTGATCTTAGTACGCACACTGTATGTGAACTGTTGTGCACAATTCCAGTGATCGTGAAACAACAAGGAGCATTTTGAATAGCAGAGAGAGTGATCACAACTTATTTAAAGGGTGTGTATTCTACAATTGAACATGTTTATATATATATTGAAAGGCTTCATCTTTAAGTTGTAAATTTTCAATATTGTTAATGTCTATCATATTATCTTATATTTTGTTTTGTATTGAAAATGACAATTTCATTTATCAGATGATGAACAATAAAACACCATGAGGATATACATGACCATTTATCCTAACATCTTGCTGTTCATTGGATGGTTAATTACAATACGTTTACACAAAGGTAAATAACTACTGTACATGTTTACCGGGAAATTTTCGCTGCAGTTTAATTTTCGCCTTTTTCACTCACCGTACTGAGGGCGAAATTATCATTACAGCGAAATAAAAAATATATCAATAAAAACATTATATGCTTAGTAATTATATGTGAAGGGGTAATTAACACTGAGCATATATAGATTATTCTGGCGAAGGGCGAAACTTTGACTGAGCGAAAATGTTCCGGTATACAGTATTTGATTGCTTAATCCTAATGACATCACATACGTTTTACATATCATTGTGATATCAATCGGTATCAAGGTCAATTTTTTCCCCCTCCCATTTATATCCTTAATTCCTTTCTTTTTAGGTGGCATTACAACTTATAAAGTACTAGCATGTTTATTTAGAAGAGATGATTATAATATTAATGAAATAGAGTGAAAATATTCTCAAGCGTATTCTACGACCTTCTTCAATAAGGACGAATCTCTCGAGATTGGATTTAAATAGAAATATTAACATACACTGTACGAAATAAGATCCGAAACAGTTCAGTGTGTAGGAGTGATGAAACCTGTGGTGATTATTAGATTAAGTAAAGATTACAAACGGATTGGTGATTGATTTAGGCACCTTTATATCAATTCGAGATAGTTGTTTCTCACGTACAACATATGAACTTCCGTGAATATGGTATTCTTGAGACATTAAGTAATGAAAATAGTCTATCATGTTAAGTTGCACATTGTGCTTCATGTTTTGTAGATGATTCGGCATACTTTATTTTTCACAACGCGAAAGGTAAAAAGACGGCGAGACGCCATGAAAATACAAATAAATACTAATCATAGGAAACTTGGAGCAGAGCAGATGCAGGTTACGCTGGCATTCTGAAAAGCCACAGATAGTTATATGCCCCATTTACGGAATTTATCGCTGTTGTAGGGAAAAATTAGAATTAATTACGAATGATATGAATAAGACATTGCTAAGAGACAAATAATCCGGAATGAATATCGAATAACAAAATGGTTATTTTCTTTTCAGTTCATATGTCCGACGTCATTTATGAAGTATTTGAAAACCAAACAAACTGGCAACAGGCAGCAAATACTTGTTTGAGACTTAATGGAACATTGATTGACTCTTCTGATTACTGCGATGTACAAAATAGGAACACATTACCAGCCAACAGGTTTTATTGGACCGGCAATTTCACTTTCATGACAAACTGGGTGCAGTTAAAAGGTGAAAAATACTACATTGATGTAATATTTCAGTGGTTTTGTTTGATATAAATTATGCGCTTACAAATATACATTCTCGTTTTTTATTTTGATATTCGAATGTTTGTAAAATATCATTTTACTAACGTAAGTTCGAGCACAAGTCCTTTGTTAATCGCATGTTCTTAAATATATAATAATATTGATGTTTAGGGTGCTTCAATGTACTTGGTCAAAATACAGCAGAAAAATTGTTCCTATCCGACGAATTCGACAAAAGTGAGAGACCTCTTGGCTGGTCCTGTTACATTTATTGCAACAACGAATCATTCTTTGGAATAAGGGTAAGATTTATGTAGACTACACGATCGAATTTAAAGTAACATACTTGTTATGCATGGGTTTTTTTAACAATTGATATTGATACTGTATTGTTATTGAAGCAATTTGAACTTTCTCGTTTACCTTTTCTATGTATCTACAGCCAAGACAAGTGGCATGCTCTATATTCATATTTGATTCACATTACTTTACCCTGCCACAATTAGATATCAATTCATTGAAGAGTAGGGGGAAAAAAAGATAAGAGTGGGTGAAGATTATAAGGATTAAAATTAAAATGTTGCAGATTATGCAAGTCTTCAATGATAAAATTGGTTAATAGCATTGTCTACTTTCAGCATTTAAAAAAAACCCGATGTAACTAACCAAAACGAGTACAGATCTGCATCTTCAAAAAAGTTTTTCTTTTTATGTTCATTTAATTTTTATTTACATGTAAGTGGAGTCATTATCTATGATTTCATTTCGTTGGAAAAATATCCTTTCGTTGATGTTGTAAGTGCTGGGGATGGTTTTCGGGATTTTGGGATTTCGGGATGTGGGAAGGGAGTCCCATTTATGGTCATACCATCCCCTTGACAAAACTTTTGGTCGCATGAATTCTTCATCTTTTCAAAAGACATTTGTTTCCAGTTTTGTAAGCACAGTAAAGGTTGTCCAAGTTGAAACTATAGTGATTAAACGTAAAACGTCTCATTTAATATTAATGTGTAGAAGTCATTACGCAAAAAACTGAAATTCAGGTACATTCTTTAGGTAATAAAACTTACATGTTTTCTTGATTTTAAAGGATGGGTATTGCCAATGTTTATCAAAAGTACCTGCAGAAGACGAATTAACTCTACAAAACAAGTGTCCATCTTGCAATGACTCTTCCAGATTTCAGTGTGGAAAAGACAATTACACAGCAGTGTATGCAATACGTAGGCGAATATTTGTTTTGCCATGTTTTAGCACCAACCATTAAACTTGATTCTATCATAAACATACAGATGAATGTTAAACATGAATGTTTACGACAGAAAACATTTTTGTATAAACCATGTATTTGACTCTCAGAAAATGTTCCTATCGCGAGCTAATTAATGTATTCGAAATTCATAAGTGTTTAAAATAGGAAAAGTGACTCTAAATGTTTTTAAGTATATGCACTGATAATTTGCATATATAAGGGTTGGGTATGTACCAACTGCTGTATTTAATTCACTTTATTAACAGCATTACAGTATTAAATCATTTTCATATGTCGCATTTTGTTAATTGCCTAGATTGTTGAAATGTTTTTCTCGTTGAATCTGTTTATGCGAAGTACAAATTCTTTATTTCTTTTAGCTCAACCGAATTCAAGAGAGGGAACAAACTTATGCGCTTCTGTTGAATGTATTGTGTCGTCAAATAAATCACAGCATGTAGCACGCCCATGTAACGAAGCATTACGCACCAAATGCACAGGTATGTGAAAACACATTTATCATAGATAAAAAAATATTAGGAAACTTACATTTTTAGTCTGCAAACTTTCAACAATGTGCAATCCGTAAGTCAAGGTTATCAGTACAATAGAAAATGCAAAGTAAGAAAGCTCTTTTTTTAAATTAAGTATGCCGTTGAGGAAAGCTATACAGGACTCATCAGTTGTAGCAAAAATGTTCCTGTAAACCATGGATAACATGAACTACATCGTCAATACATTATCAAAGCTAAATGTCTACAGCAGGATCTAAGGGGGGGGGGGGGGGGAATCAACATGAACACCAAGGGTAATCATCATCGTCGACATGCTGTTTACCGTCAAATCTAGGAAAATATATGTGGGTCACTGTCGGTCTGAGTCACAGTGAACAAGTCTTCATTTATAGGAGACATTGTTGAAATACCAAAGGTGGAAAGCAAGTCATGCAAACGACTGCTTAAGCCTCTCGGATTTCTACCTCTCCTGCTTTTAGAGTTTACAGGTCACAGCACAGGTACTAGCCTCGTCTTCAATACTCCCATACTATAATCAAGGTTGCTAACTCTGTTCCCCTAGTAAAATGACCCCGTTCCAGAAAGCATGCGATTATGTCATAACCATTCATAATATGTCGCTGGGAGGAGCCTAGATCGACAGAAATTTGTTTTTCGTTAATTTGATGTATGATTCGCCATATATCATGTTGTATGATTGTCGGTAGAATTCATGAAACATCGCAAAATGGTCGAAATTCAGTTGGTCTGACACTTTGCTGTCCCTGAGATGACACGCTAAATCCCTAGTAATTAGCGTAAAACACACGGCACGTAAGCTATTTAATGTCAGTACAGTGTTTCTACGATAGGAAACAAACTTATACTTGTATGATAGTTCATTTCCTTACATTATCATGTCAGACACATCTTTTGTGGCATCGACGCTGATTGGTTTCTAAATTTAACGGACTTTAACAAATATCAATGAAATTTCGGGATGTTCATCATAACCCGAATTCCACCGATGAGTTAAACATTATTATAAAAGTATTTAATTAATCTTTGAGCGTCGGTGATCTACAATTGTTTCCATCAAATATAATAGGATTTTGTCCCAATGTATACTATATACTATATTTTGTATGACTTAACAATTTAACGTTGGCTAGCTTCTCTGCATATTAGACTTTGGTTTGACAAATCGAACAAAGAGTGACAAAACTGTATGACTTCTGTAGACCACCTTGTAGATACGTGTATGTACGTGTTGGTTGGCAAGGTCTATTGTGAATTCAAATATTTCGCTAGTATTTATCAGACTCATACAAGGATGGTATTAAAATTCCTCACAGGCATGTAGCTGGAAGAGCAGTGGCGACAATCACTATTCATCAAAATTAAAGGAATTACAATTTTGCTTTAATTTTAGTGAGATACGAACACTACAAACTGATTAGAGTTTAGTTTTGATAAATTAATGGAACATAAGTTTTAATGGCCGCAGACTTTGAAATAACTGAAACATTCAACATCTAGCTCATATTAACGACACAGATGTATAAGTGTCATGATTGCGACGCAAGAGACACAGTCGCTTTACAAGTAGGATTTATATATTTTTTTAATTTAGAGGGAATACAAGAATAAATTTAGACCATAACTGATTGTTGATATTGTGCAAATATAATACGATGTCTGGATAATAGGTGTATATAAAACATGCGTGCATTGTCCTTTTCTCATATTGTTTTAAGGAGGAAATCAAACAAAATACTTATCATGGGGCGATGCAAGAAATGAATGTGAAGGCAATGGTACATATATGTTACTACCTCCTGATATTATGTGCCAGAGCCAGGTTTCCCAAACTTGGGGTAACCGACACAGGGAAGTAACATGGACTACCACAGAATTAGAACGTAAGATAAGCTTCTTTTTTATTATTTGTAGAACAAATCATATTGTTTATCACACCACTTCCATGTAAAGCAGTGTTTGGCGAATCAAATCGATTATGACGTCCGAATTAAGCCACAGAAAATGTAATATTATATTAAGCCAATAGAGGTCAAAAATAAGATTTTAAACACTATTTCTACAGACGTACTTAGTAATATGATTCAAAAGATCAAAGTCATAAAAGAACATTCCTTTCTTTCATATTAATAGATAATGAATTTTCGAATTTTACTCATATTCTCATACTCTTAACTACTTTGTACTTTTGTCAATGTTTGTCAATGCCTTTGGTGAAATACATAATTTTCTAAAAAAAAAATGTAATATTTCAGTTCTTTATCGTATCCAGATACACCAAAAGCATCGACTTTTAAGGTGTTCTTCAATAAACGGAAACACAATGAAGAACGACGACTGCAACTCCACCGAGCATGGATTTATTTGTAAAATAGGTATATCGTGTTCAATGTTGTTGTGATTTATCATCTAGTTTATTATAGACACCAGTGGATACTCATTATTCCAACTACCTGTCTACCTGCGTTTCATCTTAACTGGAATGCAAATATGCTGGATGCTGATAGAGAAAGATAATTATATACCACAAAATACTATTTTATAGTGGGATTATCATATACATGGTAGGTCGGTGGAACATCTTGCTAAGTGGTGGGTAGATAGTGGGACAACCGGATAAGGGGTGGCTGAATTAATGGGTTTTAACAGTTTTTTCAAGGTAGTGACACGTTAGGCTTAGTTTTTGTTTTATTACGTCATAGCAGAAAACGTTTAGAAAGATCACGATGATAAATGAAATCCTGCATATAAATTCGAATTCAATTCAAATATAAATTTCATTTTATACAAAGAGAGTATATCACGAGTGTACATCTTGCATTAAAATAAAAAGAGGATAGTTAATAGTTTCCCGACGAATACAATACATGTATACATTTGTTTCTATTTATCTTTTGACGATGTACAAACTGATACATTTGTATACTACATTGTCGTGTTAGTATAATTGTAACACATATAAGGATTGCATGAAACGACCTTTATGACAGCTAAGCTTTAATCCTTTTGTTATAAAGAAATATTATTTATGGGATAAAACCCATTGTGAAAAATAACATTAACCAAATAATGAATATGCATTTAACTGAGCACACATTCCATAACTCTTTCAAAAACGTTCAGTGAGCAATATAAAACAAAATATTGTCTCGGGAAACAATGAAAGGAAAAATATCTTTAACAAAACTGTGAAGGGGTGGCACCGATATAAAAAATGACTTTACAGGAACTGCCCAGATTTCATGTAATACACCGGTACTGTATCAGGCGTCATTTGAAACATATTCCAAAAATATGAGATGTCAAATGTCATACCACAATACCTTAGACAGTGGAAGATAATAAGTTTCACACGATGTAGTTGACAATGTTAATGAAATATGTGATGCCAAACTTTCCACCTGATTCGTGATTGACAAATGACAAATGAGATTCAACTTAAACACCTTTAGATAATTAATCTGTCAATTAAATCCCAAGATATATATGAGGGTGTTGCGAAACTAAACTTTGCAACGATATAGTGGACCTTTGTTGGCGAGGAGATTTAACAATGCAATGATTATCGTTGCACCTCTTTTAACACAACAGTATTTTTCTCTTAACAGGAAACTTCACAAATGAAAATGCAACCACGTTATGTAACATATCCGAAACGGAACCGGAAACGTCAACACTGTCACTATCTCGCACAACTACTGGTGAGACTGCATCTACCGAATTTTCAAATATTGATCCCACGACAAATATATCAAATATGGGCAAGATAGAGGGAAACAGTACGGCGACAAGCGATATGGGTAGTGTACAGTATATTGATTTATTTTGTGTGTGCATGGAAAATGTGTTTTGCTTCAGTCTTTTCTATAGCAATTATTATTTAAAAAGTTGATATCCAAATATCATTCTTCAAAACTGCTAAATATTACGAGATTACCTAGCTTTATCTTATAGAACGTTGCTTTTTAGGGTTCAACCGGCTATTTTTTTCATTTTCCACAGCAGCTTAAAATGGGTTATAATTGTCAAAGCGTGTACAGCTATGACAGTAGAGTTTTGTAAGCCTTTTCTATGTACTTATTTACTTTTTTACAGTGATGTACATAGCTATTGGAGCCGCAGCAGGAGGACTTATTGTGGTCGTCCTGGTCATCGTTGTCATCATTTGCACGTGCCGGAATAGGTAAGGAAGAACTATTTTTTTTTAGCTTCCAGCAGAACAAGATGGCAATTACCTAAATTTAGCGTTAGCGCCTCATTCCTCTTCCAATGCGCTTGCTGTAATTGAGTTTTGCATACGACTTTAAAATATAATTGTATTAATTATATTGCTTTATAGCTGAAATCAGCAATAACAGACATATTAACTAAATCGTAAACAAAACCTATCATCAATGGGAAGTTATTTCACCAAAGTTCCTTAAAATATTGCTGGTTTTTTGCCATACAAACCCATTATTTACCTATGCTTTTACAAAATGAATAGAAATATATGAATATTTTAAAATAGAAACAAAATTTGAAAGAAGAAAAAAAAACATCTAAAGATTTGATATTCAAAGACTATGCATCAACTGAGATCACCGCATAACAACTCCGACTCATCAATTCTTTTCTTCGTCTATGTTGTAAAGGTCCAACGGAAACGTCATCTCGGATGCTTTTTATAAAAAAAAAAACACTTTGTGGTTTATTTGTCAAGGGACCAAAACACCGAGAAGCACCATTGACCAATTTCAAAAACAAATATCTAATTGTACCTACTCTAGCATAAATAAATAGGAACTTATAAATTAATCTCATTGGCCCAATTGGTAGACAGTGTTGGTAATCATACTGTTTTACTCTGTCGATTTTTTTTAAGCCGATATAATGACCAATTATCGATAGGTATTCGAACCATTTGGTTTTAAAAAAGATATTGCACCCCTTAGAAAATCAGTTAAATACGGCGTCCCTTCTCTACATATACAACGTAAGTAATTTCTGTACATTTAATCACCGTACTGACCGAAGTGAAAGTTGGATTATAAAGTGTACAAATGCGTATCCCGACATCAATATCAAACTTGACAGACCTTCTGAAAATCATTGAATATGAATCCTCAAAAATAAATTTGGTTAAATTATTTAAGTTTTTTACACTGTATACATCCAAGCATAAACATTTTGTTCATCAATAAATTATTTAGCCAGGCTTTCGGATGAACTTTTAATCATATGACTATATGCTTGAAATTTCATCATTCAATCAATTATGAAAAGAACTTACAAATAGGCGTTCATTCGTATAAAAAGTAAAGGGCCTACTATAGATGCAAAACATACAAATGTACTTTTTCGAAAATCATATCGTATTTATAACTTCCTTAAACGTTAATACCACTTCATGTTTTAAGTGTACTTTTATTTAGGTCAAACAAGAGCAACGCCGACGAAACCGCAGGCGACTATAAAAAGGAAATAGACATTGATGACGGAGAGATGAATCATATTACAGCTGCAGAAAGATACATCTCAATTAAGTCAGAACAAGTATCGGTAAAATATACAGTCGAAAATGGTAAGGCTGCATCAAAAACGTCAGAACCGGGAAAGAGTTGGGGAGGCGGTTATGAACAGGTCGTCCTTCCTAATGAGGAGCCAGACAGTGGGTTTCTCGATCAGGATAGTATTGTTGACCACGTCACACAAACTCAACCCAGTCCAGACATACACGAGACACCAAATGCAATCCAATATACAGAAGAGGAAGACGATTATGCTGAGGTTGATAGCGAATCCGTCACAGAAGAAAATATCCCAGAAATCTGTATTAAATCAGCATCCATCAAAAAGGCAGAAACTAATGATGAGCAGGAGGCAGAAGATGATTACGATCACTTTGGACAGCCGGACCAACGCCAATCTGTTTCGTCAAATTATGATCATGTCCATTTACGAAACTCGAGGAAATCGAAGAAAGGAAATAATCAAGATGATTCTGAAGACTATGACCACATTCCTGGGGCAGGCGGGAGACAAGAGGAAACCGAAGTAGATTCCACTTACGACCATACACAGATATTCGGTTTGAGAGAAAGCACAGCCTCGGTGTCGTCGAACTATGATCACGTGGTTTTGCTGAAGAATCAGTGCGGTCAGGAAGACGCTTTAAATCGAATATCTGATGATTATGATCACACTAATAATGTTAGTAAAGTAAAGGTCGCTGACGGAGATAGGGATAGTAATTACACACAGGTCATATTGCCAGATTCACCCTGATCTACTCTAGTGCTGAAGTATGTCCCGGAAAATAAACTGGCAAACGGCAGCCAACGCATGTATTAGCATCCATGAGGGTGAAACAAACAGCTGGAATATTAATCAGTCAGTATAGCATGCAGGTGACCTGCGTTCGGCAGATTAAATCAAGGTGAAAGAAAACTTTTGTGGCAGTGATTACACTGTCATTTTATAATTTAAAATTACGTAAAATTTCACAGACCTTACAAACTCAAAACCCGCATGAATGCGAAGATTATACCGCTCGAAGTTGTAGACAATACTCTATGGATACTCAATAAGTTGTTTCATGCAAGTGTATTAGACTATCAGAACATAAAATCACATGAGTATATCACAGCGAACTATAAATCAAATAAGTATTATGTTCAAGAAAGCTAAACTGATCAGAAGACAATTTGAGCACTCGTAACCATTACACATCGAGTAAGACGATCTAGTGTCTGTATCGTACGCATATGTGACGACAGCGCAAAACAAAATAACGACCCATTTGTTACGTTAAGACAAAAGAGCAAAATAACATTACGACCCATTTGTTATGTTAAGACAACAGAGCAAAATAACATAACGACACATTTGCTATGTTAAGACAACAGAGCAAACATATAACGACGCATTTGCTATGTTCAGACAACAGAGCAAAATAACATAACGACACATTTGTGATGTTCAGACAATAGAGCTATAAACATAACGACAAGTCTACTATGTAGAGACAACAGAGAAAAATAACATAAAGACACATTTGTTATGTTCAGACACGTTTGTTATGTTAAGTAAGTATTATAGACATCATGATTTTATTTTTGACTAATGTCATCAGGCACGTAAGTGTCGAATGTATGACATATGGATTGTGATTATAATGTTAATGGTATAACCGTGTTGTTAGCTATTTCCTACATGTAGTTAAACGAATCGATAAGATAATGACATTCTTTACAGTCCATATTCCCTTGCTAGTCGTTTAAGTTAAAGTTTCAAAATGACATTTGTTTTAGAAATACCTGAGAATTTGATATTATAATGCGTTTCATTTCTTCGTGTCTTTTTCATACATTTATAATATCAGTGAATTTCAATATTATCAAATATTCTATATCAGAGATTTGTTACTTGTTTTGTACGCTTTTATCTCATTTGGAACTCATTCAGCTTTCGTGATCATACCCAATGCAATTTACATGTGGGAATTGATTTTGAAAAAAACACCATCAACCTACTTTAATATTGAAAAAGTATCAATAGCTGCTGCAAATGTATTCAGGTGGATTTTTAAAATGAATTGCAGGCATGCTATTTGCATTTTACAAGAATGAAATGTTTCGGATAAAGCTTTGCCGGGCTAGTGTCAAATGACTAATTTGGATCAGGTTAAAATGAACCATAGCTGACACGAAATCTGCATTGGGTACCTTACTAAATATAGATTAAATAAGACTGACCATACATCAAACAATCAGCCGTAAATTTATTAATAAAAGCATTAGCTTAAATCAAAATGAGTATTGAAAAACAATTTTAGGAATCCATACATTTAACGCTCAATTATTTACTTTATTTTGTAGAGAAAAGTTTAACTTTATGATTGTTATCTATTTCTTTAGTAAATGAAAGTTAATAGCACAGTATATGACCTTAGTAAGAATAGCATTAAGTACTACATTAATATTTGTACAGAAAATGAGATTTTCTTCAATTCATTTTTGTAAAAAAATAAAATAAGCTGATGTTACGCTTTTACAGACTGCCTATTTTTAGATATGCCATTTTTTCTGCTGTGCCTAATATCATCTTACGATTTTTATTTGTACCTTAAAAAAACAATATTTGTATGTGAATTAGAGGTCTTAATATTAATTAATCTTCTAAGTGAGATATACTAGCACTTCACACTACACCATAATACTTGAGATATTTAATTATATATATTATACACTTATGATACGATATATTATAAGATATGAAATATATAAGATATATCTTAAATGGAGAGATTTCTGACATATTTAATGAGATATCTTTTTTGCAAATAGCCACCGGGATTGCTTACCATTTGGCATGGTCACATCGGAATGGTTAAAGTTGGAATGAACTATGTAACAGTACACCAGAAAATATAATCAGGTTACGTGTGTTCTGTGTATCTTTGTCCGATGTTAAAGGAGCTAATGGTACTTGGATTATCACCAGGATTAAGTTGCGCAAACTATCTTCACTTTGTCTGTATCATAGGTTAATGAGACTTGTATGATTATTTGTTCCATTCCATAGAATATTACTTCTTATACATGTGTATTGTTTTACATATGTATGCCCTGCCTTTATTCGTATGTACTCCATTGATATAATAGAAATGTTAATCCATTTGTGTTAGTATCAATATCATGTTTTGTTTTTACTAGTTTTTTTTGTTTTTTTTACAGATATAAGATATAGAACATGACATTTTTAATTAATTTATTATTTATATATATCTTTTGTATCTAAAATCTACTTTAAGTTGAGTATTGTTTTATTATGTAATTTCAAATGCTATGAGCTTTAATCAAACTAGGTTCAACCACTATTCAAATGATAAATGACCATGTTAAAACGGGCAAATAGAAACGGATATATTTGTGTTAAAAGCTAAGCATCCCCATGATAATGACTATTATTTCAAACATGAGCGATCCGAGTATTGTAAATTGGAGAAGAAAAAAATAATGTCAAGATTTGACTACAGTATATAATCCCGAAAATGGATTTTTTCTATAATTCCACTAACATTAAAGACCTTCTTTTATACAAGTGCACTGTCCATGAGTATATAAAATAAATAGGTTTTAAATATGATGAGAAAGACTAATTATAAGTACGTTAGTTCTTGTCAAATGTCTTTTGTTATTGTACATGTAATTGACATGAATAAGATATGGTTTAAACTAAACTAAATAATGTTTTTTAAGCGGATCACGAAATCACTAAACATGCCTGTTACGAGAAGTTTTTGTAAATATATTATACATATGTATTTAAAAAAAGTAGATTTGAGGATTGTTAATGTATATGTAGCTGCTTAATTGCTTACAGGGCAAGTACACACCCAAATAAATATTTGAATGTTTACAATTGTGAGAAGACATGGTAGGTGGGAGTGTTAACGTCATGTTGTTCTCAAGTCCGAGGGCCTGAAAATTGTTGTATCTTTGCCCTGACGAGCCATAATTGGCGAAACTGGTCGGCAAGTAATCAAGTATTTTACCTAATAATTGTGTGAAGCTGGTTAATGTTGAGATCACCATTTAGTGAACACCCTGCATACCAATCAGTGTCCATTTAGTGGACACTCTACATACCAATCAGTATCCATTTAGTGGACACCCTGCATACCAATCAGTGTCCATTTAGTGGACACCCTGCATACCAATCAGTGTCCATTTAGTGGACACTCTACATACCAATCAGTGTCCATTTAGTGGACACCCTGCATACCGATCAGTGTCCATTTAGTGGACACTCTACATACCAGTCAGTATCCATTTCCCAGCGAGCACACTACTTAAGGACTCAACCTGCATTTCTTCTCCCCTTAATTGTGAAGACAGAGATCAAATGTGTTTGTTATTGATTAGTGATCTAGTTAATACAATGTATATTAGAAACACGGGGATCAGACACGCTGGCAGTATCAACAATAATACATAATATTGTCATAAGACAAGAAATAGAGCATGTGAGTACGTGTTCGTGTGACTAAAAACGTATATACATTAAATAGATAACTACGTCATTTGTCTGATTCCGGAGTACATAATGCTCTGATAATATTAAAACTGATATGTATTTAATATACTATCAAATGTGTTACATGATGCTAACTATGTTTTCTGTAATTTATAATAAATAATATATAGTCGGTAGGTTTAACTACTCGTTGTAATGATAGCTGTGCGGATGTGAATAAAGAGGTGCTTCTTTTTCTTTGTTGGAGATTATTATTTATATAGTTACTGTCGGACGCTGGTGAATCACTTCCATTAGCTATGTAGATTTATATATAGAAAATGTTTGAATTGGATTCTTCATTTTAAGCCTAAATGTAACTTTACTTAAACAATCACGTTTAATGAGACTTAATTTCATATGCAAGTAGTATTTGCATGTTTATTTGTTAACGTTTTCTAATAATGGGACGAGAGATCCTATAGAAATCACAAAAGCTAGTGGTAAACTCCGTTTTATAAACAGATCGCTATGAACCTTACGTGTTTCTGTTATAATGGTACACTTTCTTTAGATATCGACCAAAAGCTTTACTTTAAGCTATCCTTCTGATATTCTTCTGTTGGGAATCCCTTCTGATGTTATCATTGATGCTCATACAGTCGGTGTCACCAGCCAGGTCTATATTATACAGTCGGTGTCACCAGCCAGGTCTATCTTTTACAGTCGGTGAGACAAGCACGATCTATCTTATACAGTCGGTGTCAACAGCCAGGTCTATCTTTTACAGTCGGTGTCCCCAGCCAGGTCTATCTTATACAGTCGGTGGCACCAGCCAGGTCTATCTTTTACAGGCGGTGTCACCAGCCAGGTCTATCTTATACAGACAGTGTCACCAGCCAGGTCTATCTTATAAAGTCGGTGTCACCAGCCCGGTCTATATTATACAGTCGGTGTCATCAGCCAGGTCTATCTTTTACAGTCGTTGTCACCAGCCAGGTCTATCTTTTAAAGACGGTGCAGCCAGCCAGGTCTATCTTTTACAGTCGGTGCCACCAGCCAGGTCTATCTTTTACAGGCGGTGTCACCAGCCAGGTCTATCTTATCCAGTCGGTGACACCAGCCAGGTCTATCTTATACAGTCGTTGTCACCAGCCAGGTCTATATTATACAGTCGGAGTCACCAGCCAGGTCTATCTTATACCGTCGGTGTCACCAGCCAGGGCTATCTTTTACAGTCGGTGTCACCAGCCAGATCTATCTTATACAGTCGGTGTCAACAGCCAGGTCTATCTTTTACAGTCGGTGCCACCAGCCAGGTCTATCTTTTACAGCCGGTCTCACCAGCCAGGTCTATCTTATACAGACAGTGTCACCAGCCAGGTCTATCTTATAAAGTCGGTGTCACCAGCCCGGTCTATCTTTTACAGTCGGTGAGACAAGCACGATCTATCTTATACAGTCGGTGTCAACAGCCAGGTCTATCTTTTACAGTCGGTGCCACCAGCCAGGTCTATCTTATCCAGTCGGTGACACCAGCCAGGTCTATCTTATACAGACAGTGTCACCAGCCAGGTCTATCTTATAAAGTCGGTGTCACCAGCCCGGTCTATCTTTTACAGTCGGTGAGACCAGCCAGGTCTATCTTATACAGCCGGTGTCACCAGCCAGGTCTATCTTATCCAGTCGGTGTCACCAGCCAGGTCTATCTTTTACAGTCGGTGAGACCAGCCAGATCTATCTTATACAGTCGGTGTCACCAGCCAGGTCTATCTTTTACAGTCGGTGTCACCAGCCAGGTCTATATTATACAGTCGGTGTCACCAGCCAGGTCTATATTATACAGTCGGTGTCACCAGCCAGGTCTATATTATACAGTCGGTGTCAACAGCCAGGTCTATCTTTTACAGTCGGTGTCACCAGCCAAGTCTATCTTTTACAGTCGGTGTCACCAGTCAGGTCTATCTTTTACAGTCGGTGTCACCAGCCAGGGCTATCTTTTACAGTCGGTGTCACCAGCCAGGTCTATCTTTTACAGAGTGTTTCAACCATTATCCGGGTATACGAACTCTCTCTATGGCAACGGGTCAGTACACGACTTATCAACGGTTGGCGTCTAGCCCTACTGTTCCGAAACCATATCGATTCCCTCTCTGATATAAATGCATGGTGTACTAATAAAATTAACAAAATATTTTTAAATTGTGACCAAAATCACTACTCAATGTCATTATGGTATCTTTATATGACACATTATGGTATAGATACATGTTATATCTGAATACCGTCCCTATCTCTCAAACGTCTGTTCAATTATAGACATATATCGTCTATTTTGGTATCAAAAGCCATTCTGACCTTAATAGAACAACCTTTCAAGAGATACATTATCTGACAATTCATTTTACATCTCTGCGTAAAGACAGTGTATTCTTAAACATTAAAGGCAAACAGTTTCCTTTTGACGTTAATAGCATTAACTGCTACTGAACTGCTACGATATCAATAAACGCAGCTAGTTATCGCGTTGCTACTTGATTGTTAGAAATCGCACAGATGACATTCGTGTACGTTGTTGAATATGTAAAATAAAACATATAGTCTCTTGTATAAGGATGGAAAGCTATGATAAGGGAGAAATGTCTGCTACAGAAATTATTCCTAAAACCTACAGCGAAAATTACAAAACGTGGGAAAAGCCCTACAGAGAGAAAACACGAAACGGTCGCAAAGCAAAATGTACAGAACAGCCACAAAACCTAAAGCGAAACATGCAAAACGGCAACTACTGCTAAAGCGGAAATGACCGAACAGAGACAAAGCACATAGCGAAAATCACAAAACAACAACAAATTCTACAGCGAAAATTATAACACTGACATACTTCAGAAAGTACTTTTGAAGCACATTTGAGTTTTGACAACGGTAAAAGACGCCTACAGAAGAAACACCTACCGTCACTGTTTAATGACTTCCTCTCTAGTGTAGCGTCTGTTAGGAAGTCAGTGAAACCTTACCATGGAATAGGTCCAGCTTTTAGATTGTGTTGGCATAAATAACACAATAAACATGCCGAAACTTACAGTATCATATGTTCAGTGACAATTCAGTGTCTCACTTAATGTTCAGCGCCAATCTCAGTCATTTGGACGCTTCAAAACTAAGACAAACGAATATATGTTACACACTTTGCTGTAGAACGAACTGCCTTCTGTCAATTCCAAGGATTCTGTTCTCGATACCTGCAGAGAAGATAGTTGAATCGAAAACAGTACCATCGGATTTCATGTAGCATTGCGACAATCCGTTTACTTCTATCAAGCATCAAACTTTCAATCTTTAAACTCCGGCGTTAAAAATCAAAGGTTTTTTAATAAGAAATTATGTGTATCGTTATTTTCCAGATAATATTTAGTTTAAACATTATTTTATTTCCAATGTTTGCACATTAAAAAAACTTCAAAACAGAAAATAGAAAGGAAACAGGCTAAAAGCTTTTCCTAATTCCTCTCCTCTATTGGACATTACGGCACAGTCTACATGGACATTTGCACATAATGGACAAGACGGTTACGAGATATGGAGATGTCCTTGGACTAGTAAGGACAGATAGCTATAGGTAGGTGATTTGTGGTTGACCATTTTGTGAAACTGTATCAGTTTATGTTTTTCACGACTTTTTGCTAACTGTTCCCACTTGATATCTCTATATAAAAGTTCATTACTAGCTTATTTCGTGCCCCTGTAACAATCATTGCTGCTTCTAATTGCAAACTTTTTAATTGGTCACTTACATATTTAGGAACATTGTCCTTAACTATGTCTGCGGATTCTAGTACAGGTCTTATAAACGATGTATGAATTGTTTGTAAAGAATTCCTATCAAGTTTAAATTTCAATTTCCTTAGTGTCGTCAGCAAAAATTTTCAAATCATTTAATAACATTTCCAGATATACCTGCTAATTTCAATTTATATAATAAACCCTTATGCCAAACCCTGTCGAAAACTTTGCTTATATCACAAAATACTACTCGAATTTCTTTACCATTACAATGTATCTATTGCTTTACCAATAACATTTGTTATATTAAGGAATTGGTTTACGGCAGAGTCACCCTATTGATTTTGAACTTTATGCTTATTTATGTTTATTCCCGTGAAAAATTGACTTGTTTTAAAAATTGAATTTATAATTATTTGTGCCATCATTTGTCTGTAAATTTGTTATATTAATAGGAGACGGCTTCATAAGTTGAAATAACTTGTGCCGGATCCTTTTGTGCCAATATTTGGACAATAAAATATGTTTAAAGTCAAAGTAAACCCAGACTGATGTACAGTGAACTAATGTTTATCCCTAAGAAAATAGAAAATGTATTCAAAAACACAATGTTCCATGTCTTGTTCTAGAAGATGATGATCGCTTCTTCTTCATGTGTGGCTAAAATACAGAGGAGAAATGGATACTTAAGTAGATATATTCAAAACTATTCTATACTAGACACAAATACTTTAACAAATATTTTATCTTCTGACAATATGCAACTAATACTTGACTCGTGCTTATACATAAAACAGTCACTTGAACTGAGGAGTGTGGGCCTGGCTTCTCTGTAAGTTTATATACTGTTCACTTTTGCAGTTTCTTTGTATATTTGTTGTTTTGTTATTTGCCTTCAAGTTACTATATGTAACTATAAATGAGCAATACAATTATTGAATTATTGATTAACTTACCAACAATACTTATTAAAGAAATCATGATATTTGAGGATTGAATTCCTTCTAGAAAATATAAGAAAACTAGTTTCCTTCACTCACAATAATTTGTATTCCCGAAAGTGGCAACCTTAACAGATGTTTTTTTATAAACAATTATTTATAAATAATTATCAAATGTTTAAAGGTATATCTGGAAATGTTATTATCACACTAATTACTCTAATTTGGAATTTATGTATAATTTACTTTTTCACCTCAACTAATAATGATTAATCTTATTCAAATGTCCATGCTCTTGTCAGAATTTGTTTCAAACCGCATTGAGCTGACAGCAGAGAATTTTCTGTAAGTCGTACGGTCAGAATAAAATCTGTGTATCAGAATTTATGACAAGGATATCGATTTTGATCCTAAATATCAGAGACGTATAATACGTATTATACGTCTCTGTAAATATCAAACGTCAGTACATTCACTCACATGGCAGTTATACTTCGTAACTACGATCCCTGTGATAAAACTTAAAGTAAAATAAATGTAATCCTAGTTTTATTGTCATTATACCATCGAATATCTAAACAGTATTTGAACACTACGGTTGCCCTTTGTCTCAATTCTCACGACCCTGTGATACGGAGTTGGAACTCTTTTATATTTGAAGTCAAGAAAAGAACTGACATTGGACAAACCTCAAAATGAATGCCCGGGTACTAAAAACAAGATGTGCAAGAGATCTATGCAGAAGTCTTTGTCGCCTGATGTCGACACACGAGAACCCTCTTGTGAGTATGTTTAATTATAGGTTGGCACATATTTGATGTTCTTATTTCTAACGCCATACGGTTTATGAACGCGTGAACTGTAACCTATTTCGACGGACCTTCAGTTTTGACGTATTTTAAAGTCGGGCCATTACTTTTGGTCTAACAGAGAATATATAGGTCTCTGATTCCATGAACACGAACATAGTGATGCTTATAATAGAAGTGTGTTCTTACGATGAATGCGTAATGAAATAGCATTGCAAACAGGTTGGGCACAACGGCGCATATATGGGTAAAAATCCTGCATTTGGGTAACAGTTGCCCATTTGAGTAGCAATTTTATTACTGAAATGGGAAATAAAGTGAAATAAAAACATGCAAAGTTCTTTTACACATTATGAACAAAAAAAAGGTCGTCATTTGTTCTGCACAATCAAATCAAATATACAATGAGTTACAATTGTAATAAAAATATGTTAATTCAGTTATCTAAATTTTTGTGAAAATGACAAATTGTATCACCTCCATTGCTTATATTGTGTTGTATAGTAGATATAAATAGCACACAGAAAAAAATCATACTTACCTGTAACATTTGCACTTGACGGTCCCATTGCCTACATACACACTGAAGTCAATGGAGAACATTGAGTCAGTGATTTCAGGGATAGCAATCCAATCTAATTGTGTGGTGATTTTCAAAAAAGGTTGGACATCAGAATTGATATTTTTTTGCACACAAATGTACTTCATTGTGTTATTTATTGGATTTAGTTGAAAGTATAACACCCTTTTTGCTCCAAGTTTTTAAAATAACTGTGTGTTTTTATTTCACTTTATTCCCCATTTCAGTAATAAAATTGTTACTAAAATGGGTAATTGTTACCCAAATGAAGGATTATTAATCATACAATGTATGTGCCGTTGTGCCTAGCCTGGTAAAGAATGCATAGAAATTCCCTCTAGCAACACGTGCGCCAGCAATGTAAATATGTGAAAATATAAAATAGCCTGCCTACCCTACTATATTCAATGTATTTGCCTGTGGACTAGCACGAAGCATAATCCCATGAACAATTAAAATTAAACCTGTCAGACATGGTCAGTGATAAATCTACATGCGAGTCCCGAGTCCTGTACTCATAGAATTTTGATGGAACTCACAGAATTTCTAGAAACAATTAAATTTAACATTGTGGGACAATACAGTTGAAAAGGACTCATTAAAATGAATTGCAGATGGATCACTGCATGTTCCATAGGTAGATAGAAGTGTTTAGCCAACTGCACATTCAGTTTACAGAATTAGTCCACAATTAGGCTAACTATTGGCTTAGAACAGATGTTTTTGCATTTCATTTAACTGTTTAATTGGTAATACCTTGATCTTGGTGTAAACCTTGAAAGCTCTTTTGTTATATCAAACAAGCATTGTCAGACAAAATGTATTTACTTGCTTCCGTCCTAGGAGTTTCTCGGAAGTTAAAGGTTGCATGTGTCCTCTGGCCTTGGGGTACAAACATTTCGGAACATAATTGTTTTGGTACCATGATGTTTTGGTACTCGATACTTTTTGTGTCCTGTGTGTAAATGCTGATTTTATATTTTAATATTCTTTAGCATTTTCACCTTTACAAAAAAAAGTACAGAAATGTCCTATTCTTAGATACCAACATAACATGGGTTCTAAAACGACTAGAATTTATCTCATCATCGAACATAGTTTTGACTGGTGTATTATGTACTTAGTGCTGGTTTATGACATATATGCTGCCTTGGTGGAGCCCTTCTTGATTGGTCAGTGTCCAGGTGTTATATAAACTAAATCTTTCATGTTTATTTACTTTAGGGTATTAAAGGTGAAAATAAGAGTAGAGAAGAACTTCAAAAAGAAAGAATGGCTAGAGGACTTCCAAAAAAGTTACCCATACCAGGAGTGAAATATGTGGTGGTGGTGGCGTCTGGAAAGGGTGGTGTGGGGAAATCAACCACTGCAGGTATAGTACCATAACGTTATAAAACATTCTTATACAGAAAAAGTCTATAGTATAATGCATTTAACTGGTTAATCAATCAACCATGATTTAATGCAAACTAAGGAAATAAAGATAAAAGCATGACCTTTGAACTAAACATAATTGTGTGAGTAAATTCTTCATGTTTTAATATGTTCATTCTTTACATTATATCCTTTTATTCAAAAGTCAATTTTTGTGACCAGAAATTTGACAATCCTTGTTTCAGTAAATCTTGCACTTGGATTGGCTGCTAACAACCCAGTAAGTACGATATGTAATTACAAACAAGTACGTATGATATGTAATTACAACCCAGTAAGTACGATATGTAACTACAACCCAGTAAGTATGACATGTAATTACAATCGTAGGAGGGTCAGACACTATCAGTATGATAACCATGTCTGTACCAGTCGTAGGAGGGTCAGACACTACCAGTATGATAACCATGTCTACACCAGTCGTAGGAGGGTCAGACACTATCAGTATGATAACCATGTCTGTACCAGTCGTAGGAGGGTCAGAAACTACCAGTATGATAACCATGTCTACACCAGTCGTAGGAGGGTCAGACACTACCAGTCTGATAGCCATGTCTGCGCCAGTCATAGGAGGGTCAGACACTACCAGTATGATAACCATGTCTACACCAGTCGTAGGAGGGTCAGACACTACCATTATAATAACCATGTCTGCACCAGTCGTAGGAGGGTCAGACACTACCAGTATGATAACCATGTCTACACCAGTCGTAGGAGGGTCAGACACTA